CAGAGTATTTATAACAGCTGAGGTATTGAGGTCAAGAGGTACAAAGGACTGACTCTTTCTCATTTTTAGACTGTCTGACACACTGGTACTGTTTCATTTTATTTTTAAAGCAAGACAGATTTATAAAGCTGTTTTTTGCTTTTTAGTATTCTCGACATGTTGCTAAGAAAGATCAGTATTATCTGCAGATGTGTGCACAGAATGAAAGATAAGGACGTACGGCTCCTGCTCAGTCACTTTGAAATTTTCATTTGGTATTTTTCCAAAGGCTGTCAGAGATATGCAGAATGGATGAACGCGTGAATCTAACTCCTTTAATATATGCACATTATAAAATATATCAACAGTTAAATTAATGAATTTGTTTGAAGGGATCATTTCATTTTCATTGGACTTCACAAACATCTGGCAAACGGACAACAAGTTTGCTTTCACTGACACGTTTAAAGAAACATTGATAAATCTGTGTTGTCCTTATAAATGAATTATTATTTCACTGCATTAATCATTTATGTCACATATCGATGAACAAGAATTATAAAGTGACCCAAACCTGAATTATGTAATTACAAGTTTCCATCCATGGTAAATGTATTAGTTGCACTCTCCTCATATCTTAATGTTATTATGGGTATAAACAAAAAAAAAGGGCAATATAACTGAAAAGATGCTCGAGCACACGCGCTGATTAAGTGGAAAATGATCTGCAGTTCACACGTAGAAAAATCTACTCTTACAGTCGGGATTGCTTTTTATTCTTGGGTTGCTTTGTATCAACGACGAGAGGTAGATATAGTAGAACATGTATTAAAAGCTTTTCAGCTCACCTTTTACAGATTCATCTTGATGCCACTGGATGTCAGGACGACAACATAGCACTCATCTGTCACAGGGTAATCCTAAATCTCACAAAGCTCTTTTAAGACTTCTGTTTGCAGTCTGTGTGGTGTTATACTGCCTCTGTGTGGCTGAAAACAGCAACTGCATCACAAGTCACTGAGCACTGCTGTGTGTGTTCTCCTAACATGGCAAGGCAAGTTGATTTCTATAGTACATTTCTGCAACAAGGCCATTCAAAGTGCGTCACACACGACATTAAAAGCATCATGACAAAGGAGGAAAATAATCATTAAATTGAACATTTAAAAATTACTCAAAAAATCCATTAACAATCACAGATACGGAAATATGTTGGAAATAAGATCCAAAAGAAATACAGAAATATGAAGTTGAAGTTGAAAATACAAAAGATAGACACCAATTTATTATCAAGGAATTGTGTTGGGTGTTTGAATGATTACTTTAAGCGAGCACCTCTGCGCACACACACGATCCTGAAATAAGAACTTCTATGGAGTGTGGTCCGACACATATACTGAACACAAAATAACAACTTTGATGCAATTTCTAGATGGAAGTATATTGCTCAAAAAAGATCTGACCTCATAAAGCAAATGTATGAGAACACATCATGTGCAGTCTGCCTTAATGCAATCATGGTTTTGACTAATGGTGTAGTGCAGGGTATAGGCAGATACACAGAGTATACCCCACTTATTTATCAGTCTCCATAGGGGGTATACCCTTCTTTAATTGTTCTCTGATTCACACATATGGTGAAGGGATGACCCTCCTTATTCTGTCTCTAATTGGCTAGTACACACTAACTAAGTAAGGAGTCTTACATTTCACTTCTTATAACAGAGGCCGTTTATCCTCTGCTGGACGGGCAACTTAAAAAAAATCGGGGTGGGGGGAATTAAAGTATACCCATTTCTTCAGGCACCAGTACACCGCTGGTTTTAATGACGACTACCACTGTTGGTGATCAGAGATGTAATGCAGGCAAAGTATAGCTGCTTGCTCATAGTCGTCTCAGAACTAAATTACCTAAGTAAAAGAGAGCCATACCATACATTTTCTGTCCTCACCTGTGACTTCCCCTTGGACTAATTCTGAAGCTCTGTGTTACTTTAACAGCAACACTGAGGAAAACTGTGGCAGGATTGAAACATCAAACTCATATCATCATCATATCAACAATCGGAATTGAATAGATGAAGCAGGAGATAGGCAGCTCAGTGAGAACAGGTGTACACAATAAGCTAAATTAACAGCGAAACCTAGGAGGACATCTAGTGGAGAAACTAAGACACAACAGGGAACCATGGGATCTGTGACACATGGAATCATGCATCATCTTAACATGAACCTCCAAACTCTGACTTTTTAGAAGAAGTTAGTAAAGGGACGTTATAACCATTGGGAAGTGTAACAAATAGGGGAAAACAAAAAAAGATGGCAGTGTGTATCAATACCATACATTAAAAGCATCAAGATGAGGCAGAGGTAAGAAAAGGTCACAAGTACAGAAGTGTTGTGTACAAAAGACTCTGAAATGTCCTAACAGTAAAAAACAAATTACCCTCTAAACAACATTTCTAACTGTAACTGCCACTCATCACCAGAAAGGCATATGCCGCGGCCCCTTAGTGGACCAGCACAGCATATGCCACTCATGTTACGGCATATGCTACTCATATGCAGCATATGCTGCAGCACTTAAATGGACCACAATGGCATATGCCACTCATTTGGGCACATCCCACTCATATGCGGCATATCCCGCGGCACATTAGTGGACCAGCATGGCATATGCCACTCATATCAAGGCATATGCCACTCATGTGCCACTCATATGCGGCATATGCCGTGGCACTCAAGTGGATCAGCACGGCATATGCCACTCATATGGGGCACATCCCACTCATATGCAACATATGAGTGGCACATGCTACTTTAACCATCCTTAAACTGATTTTACGGCTTTATCTATAGCCATAATACATATGATCAAATAATAGCCCTATATTATTAAAACATTCAGTTATTACATTTTGCGTTTTATTACATGTTTTAAATAAAATTTTGGATCGTTGTTACATTTCGGGTCGTTGTTACATTTCGGGCTCTTACATGCCTGTTTGAACTTGCCACTACTACGACTTTTACACAAATAGATCTGCACAGCCCACTGCTTAGCCACATCCCTCGCTGCGTTCCCGCGGTGTCAACACACCCCGACATGCACAGGGGTGCAAGGGCCCTTCATCACCGCTTGTCAACTATTACTTTTGATTATTAACAATGTTAAAAACATATACATTTAATTCTGTATGATAGTTATCCAACATTTTATGGTAAAATATGTTTGTAGGATTGTATTTCCACATGATGGCGCACAAGTCACTCCGTTGTTCATCTCCCTCACCCAGTTACTGCTTACATCAAATTTAAAACTCTGCTGCTCACTTTGCTAATGAAAAGCGTCTTATCCAAACCTTCACAACAGGGTCCTAAGTCTCTTATATACTCCTCCCCTTTGTCGCCCCCCGATGGTGGAACGAACTACCAAACTGAATTCAGTCTGCAAAGTCCCTTTGAAAAAGCTAAAGACTATGAATGAATACCTACTCACTTAATGATATTGATGACTACAATGATGATGATCATGGTTTTGATAATGATGATGAGGATATTTAGGATGGTTTTGATGCCGATTAGGAATCTCAAGAACAAATCAAAATGTGCTGCCTCTCTGCACTTCCTGTCAGCAGCTGGGTGTCCTATCACACTTCAAGCTGTTTGTTTGCACTAATCGAAGTTGTTGTAGAATTGTATTCATAATGGTAGCATCCTTATGGATAGAATTCAAAGGCATTATTACCCGATGTGTTTCTGTATGTAGTTCATTGTTGTAATCCCATTACTTGTGTACTAGTTTGTACAGTTTGGTGCTAATGTTTTCTGAATCATTCATAGGTTAAATACATTTACAAGTCAATGTTGGCCGTTTTAGGGATGAGAGTGAGCAGGAAATCTCGCCGCTGTTATTTAGTCTTTGACTTATTCATGAAACATTCTGTCTCTTCTGAGGCTTCAGCCCACTGCTGATCCCAACAAAACATATCAATCATCACACCAATATAACCTGGAAAGTGCTTCACTTACAAGCAGCCATCATATCCATCCAACCCAGTGAACACGTCCTCTTAAATCAAGCAGGTGTTATTACACAAATGGACATTAGAGGGCAGTCTTTAATAAGTTGTTATGCAAGCTTTGGAGGCACCTGACCGTACATATTACTAACACTAATATCAACATCTTAAATGATGCTTCTCTTTTTGATCATGTAGCCTAACTACACCTGCAGATTTTACATATACAGATTTAAAGCACAACAAACACAATCGTCCGTTTTTCTCACTTTTCTTTGCCTGATAAAGTAGGTGATTGGTTGTTACCCTTACTCCCCAGCAGAATCACAAGCTGTATGACACACACTCACCTCTGGCTGGAGCCCTCCTCAGCCGGTCTTGCCCTGAACCTGCACTGACACCGCCCCTTCAGCCCCACTCCTCCTCTGCTTCATGTTCTATTCATCTGAAGCTTCATGATGCTCATCTTTACATTCTATCCTTCACATGGACTATGTTTTCATGAACTTTATTCTGTGAGTTTACGGATTCCCTGTCCCGTTGTTTGACTAATCATGCACATATAACTTTCTAAAAACATTATATTACTGCTATCTTTCCATCAGTTCCATCACTTCTTATCATCTTTGTCTAATGACATGTTTCTCTCTTTAGGATATTTTCATGTCTTCATGTTGCTTCATGTCATATCTGCTCTTTAAGGTTCAAATGTTGTATTTTGTTTTATTCTATTTTAAGTCATTTGTGTGAATACTTTGTGTGACTGGTGCTTTAAATTGAATTTCCCTTGCCTTCACTGTTTATACTGATTATATTCAGGAACATTTAAATTGTAGTCTTGTTTCTTTCAATGAGATCTGAAGTGCAGAATTTTCTTCATTTTTTACATCTTGTTGTTTACTCAGTCTTGATTCTGGTTGTGGAGATGAACAAAAACCTACATAATTCAAAGTGAGCTAGACTTGAATGAGTTCTTTGAGTTAGAAACAACGACAGATATATTTTGCTTTTATAGAAGTACTTTTATTTTCTGAGCCCTTAAGCGCATCAAACAGTTGCATTTTTGGGGGGGGGAAAATGATACATCTCTTCAGCAATTCGATTTCAAGTACAACAGGTCATCCATTGGTTGCATTGGGTTTCTTCCTTCTTAAAAACGCACACACACACACAGTTCATCCATCCTTATTTGAGGCGTAGAAAAAACGTCCAAACTGAATTAGGTGAGGTTGAACAAACACGAGGAAAGTGGGACTGAAACTGAGTTGTAGTACCTGAATTTGTTGATCCTGCTCAAGCAAAACCTTCACAATACACAAGACATGTAGGCCTAGCTGACAATACTTAGCAAATCTAGAATATCTTTACAAGAATAAAAATGGTTGAAAATTGTCACTCAAAAAACCCTGACCTGATTCGATTAGTATCAAAGATAGGAGATGTAAACATTACAAAAATACATATTTACACTAGAATGGGTCCTGCCCACAGCGAGTCTCCTCTTCTGGAAACAGTCTCTTAAGGCACTCACTTACAATCAATAACTTATTCCAAAGACAGAGTCAGGGAATGCCTTAAATACAGACTAATATAAGTTATAAACATATTCACAGATATGTACAAACCCACCAGAGCTCGTTCTCTTTGGCGTAGAGGCACTTCTGAAATACTTTGTCCCTCTAACAAGGCACAGGACATAAAACAAGCTGTTACACAGAAACGTCTTGCTCTATTGATTTTGGCCCCTGATGCTTTGTCTGTGATGCTCCGGGCATCTCTCCATGATGGATTTTTATAAAGTTTGATTACATGTGCCTCTTCATGTGGAGAGCCAGGTGATCTGAACGGGAAAACGCGCGCTCACACAGGTGGCACTGAAAGGGTCGGTGTCCGGTGTGCTTCCTGTAGTGCCGAGTTAACTCATCTGACCGGGCGAACTTCCAGCCACAGCCCTCCCAGTTACAGTGGTACGGCTTCTCACCTATAGGAGAAACAAGAAAACTTATATTTAGCTTAGGTTTGAATGGGGATAAATATACAACATAAAGTGAAAACTTAAATGGATGGGCTTGGTCTGCTGTGCTCACCTGTGTGTGTCCTCATGTGGGCTTTGAGGTGCGAACTCTTGGTGTAGGTTTTCCCACACCCAGGGAAGTCGCAGCTGTGCGTTGCAGTGCGTTTTCTGGCCCACGACCTGCGGCCTCTCTTCTGTTTGACGCTCCCCACCTCCTCCTGCGAGTAAAACTCCAGCAATGAAGGCGACGGAGGAGGAGTGAGCATCATGCCCTGCATTGAAGCCGGGTGGTGCTGCTGGTGCATGCGCACAGGCTCTCTTCGTATGGTGTAATGTCCCTGATATTGTGACACGCTCTGGTGCGCGTACTGAAGCTGGTAAGGCGCGTTCATGTACTGGTTTTGGAGATGATGCTGATTAGGATGAGGGCTGTTGACGTTGGAGTTGATGTTAGACATATGGCAGTCTGTGCGACCCTGAGGTGCAGCAGGGTGCTGCATTTGGTGCGAAGCATATCCTTGTAACGCACCTTGAAGTGTAACCTGGTGGTGCGTAAAAGGCTGCACAGTGCGCATGTGGTGCCTCTCAAACATCTGTCCCATAAAGTTCTCATCACCTACAGCAGCCATCATACAAGACTGACTCACAGGCTCAGTTTTTACTTTATACTCCATTGCTGGAGGAGAGGACACTTGATGGAGAGCGGGAGGTGAAACCGTATTCATGGCATGCAGCTCGGTGTACTCCCGCGCGTCTCTCGCCTTGTCTGCGCTCTCCGGCGAGCTCCCCCCCGGGTAGTTCATTTCTGGTGTAAGAAGCTCTGCCATGAGACTGCGCATAGGGCCCGTGAAGCTCACGGTGCCGTGGTAGCTCGGATGGGAAGAGGGAGGAAGGTGGTCGCTGCAATCTGGCACAGACGCACCGCTGCAGCTCTCCGGTGACTCCGGTAGAGAATACGCGCACTGCTGCTGCTGCTGCTGCTGCTGCTGCGGAGAAATGTCCCCGTTGTCGCTCCCAACATCCGAGCCGATGGTGTTGGACAAAATAAACTCGAGGTCGATGAATTTCGCCAGCTCGTCCTCGTCCTTTAGGGGCACAGTAGGAGACTGGACGATACTAAACTCCACTTCGATGAGCGGGTTGGTTGCGGTGCTCGGTACGCACTCATCCGCCTCAAACAGCTGCACAAAAGAAAACATTGAAGTTAGAAGACAGCCAAGTAGTTTTATAAAAAAGACATGTACACCCAAGTCAGAGATAAATAACATATTTATAACTTGACATTATATCTACTTACGTCGTGGAACTTTTTTCCATCCATCGCCGGAACTCTTGCAAACGAGGTGATTGTCGGCATCACAACTTCAGCCACCGCCATGCTGAAAGGTTGGATGTTAAAAGAACAAAAAATGTAAGCCTAAAAATCCGAACAGAGACGTGGCTCTCTGTCCATGTAGCGCTTGTTTGGTAACTGACAGCTGAGGAGCGTTCCAGGATTCAGTGTTTATGTATCAAGACAGAGCTGCCGGAGCCTCTTATAGCTCCCTTACTAATACCTGGAGGTGTGGCTTGTACTGCCCCCCCCCCCAACACACACCAACACACACACCTCCCCCAAAGCAACCAGTGGTGCAAACAAACAAAATGGCATTCAGGTGCGTCAAGCAGGTGAGTAACAAAAGTGCATTAAGTATGATTAAACAAATCAAGACTTGATTTTTGTAAACGAATGACTGAATGAATAATATGATGAAACGACTGCCGAACCCAAAAAAGACACCTTACTTTCTGCTTTTCGCCTTTTCCGGGGAGCAGTGCGTAAAATCTACACTCCCTTCCGTTTATTGAGGTATTTTAGATATCAGGTTCTCTCTGGCTGCAACAGTTCAGTGCATTTTCCTCTCAGGTGAAATCAAACAAGTGCAGGGGTCGACACTGAACCTGGCAGAAAACATGGCATGACAGCACGAGAGCATATAAAGCCCAGTGCGTAAAACCTTAGTGCAAGTTTCATGATCACGTTGAAATGTTACATTAGAAATTGGACCATTGCTGCTTTTACTTGCAGCACCTGAACACGACAAAGTGAATACATCTTCAATCTATTTTTAACAGTGGACGTGTTTCCAACAGTTTCGTCTCAGCCTCTCAAAACACGCGCACACTCATTCACACATCGTTTATTTGTCCCGACTTGATCCCTGCGTGTTGGAAGCAAACACAAACGTGCGAAGCGGCGGATCATCGAAACAACCTGTTAATCCGGGTGTCAACAAAGAACTACATGTTTCTTAATGATCTTTCCCCAGCAGCCCCGCGGTCATTGCTATGTTAATGTACAGGTGTGTGAGAGAGAACAAACAGACTGGATATAAAATACGGTTTTTTTTTTTTTACTGTGTTGTCAATTAATTGGTTTAACTTCATGTTTACGTTTTTCCAAGCATTATAATGGTAATGGAGTGTCTACATGACCGTCATTGAACGGCTACATATGAATATATAAGACATATTTTTAAAATTATTATTATTATTATTCAACCATTTGTCTGTTTCTCCACACTCACAGGGCTCCAGATCAAACATGCACCAAAAATGTTACGCCACAACTAGGTCAATCATAAAAATGTGGCTTTATTTATAACTGAACGAAAAATAATTGCAATTATAGAAAATGAATAACCATAAGTCGACATTATTTAGAAGTTGGTAGGTTGCACACTATCAGGCAGTCAAACCGTCCATTAAACTTTGTAAAGTAACATTATCAATGTGCTCATGTGCAGCCAAATGTTTTTTTAAGTAATGTTTGTACCTTCATGTTATTTCTGTTCATTTATGTTGATTCATGAATGTTTTATCAAACAGAGCAGAGAGAATGTTGATGTAACAACAGATGAAAATAATACAGAGATCATTTAATTATGAAGAAGTTTTATTAAAAATAAGTTCTTAAGGGTTGTGGTGGCCGAGTGGTTAGTTTGAAAGCCCCATGTACAGAGGCATTTGTCCTCGGGGCGGGCGGCCCGTGTTCGAATCTGACCTGTGGCTTCTTTCCCGCATGTCATTCCCCACTCTCTCTCTCTCGCCCCAATTAGTGACTCATATCCACTGGCCTGTCTCTCCAATAAAGGCACACAATGTCCACACACAAAAAAAGTAAGTTCTTAAAAAATGCTTAACAAATCATCAAATTGGACAGTTTTGTTTAAACATCACACATTCACCGAATTCAATTCCATTCACACAGACTTGTCCTTCTTCCCTTCTCTATTGGCTCCTGCAGGTGCTCTGATTGTCAGCGTCCTGCAGCTCTCTGCCTTTATACGCCGTTATTTTTAACCCACCACGCTTACGCAAAACCACTTCCCCTCCTGTCCCCGAGCCAAGTGGAAATGGACTCAGTTTCCTGAGGAAAAACTTGACACACGCTTCCTCTACTTTCACTCAGCTGAGGATGCAGACATGCAGGGTGTCCTGCTCATGTGCTGACGGACTCTGCTGCTGGAAAACTGCAAGACTTGTATTTATATCCATTGAGCAAAAGTGGTTTCAACAACATGATATGTATGTTTTCTAAACCCTAACCCAAAAACAACAACAAAATGATAGATCATGTTTAAAATAAACTCCAAGGCCACTAATTATTGCTCTGATCAGTGAGAAGTCTCTCCTCTATCTTCTTCAATCTAAGGCATTATCAAACCAAAGACATGTAGAAAAAAACAGCAAAGAACAGAGAGACAGACAGAGATTAAGAATTGGCCCCTGGCTCAGGTTTCTCCTTTTGTGTCTCTCTTTTCTCAAAGGAGGAAGCCTTTCAGCTCAAGTGTTTTCTAAACACAATTACTTCAGATTACAGTTAAGCAGACACACGCATACACACACACACACACACACACACACACACACACACACACACACACACACACACACACACACACACACGTTTCCCAAAGTAGAGATAAAAAGTAGTTTGTTGTCACCCATTTGTGCTGCAAAGTTTCAGGAACTCAAATCTTAGTGAGTGGATAAGTCTTATTTATAATAATAAAAATCTGTCATTAAACTAATTATGACCCACATTCATAAATCAGGATTAACTTCTTATTTCAAGATTTAATTAGCAAAGAATTGATTCAAATAACTAAAAATATCTACCAATACAGTAAGCAAGCAGTAAGCAAAATGTTCTTGTCAGGTGAATGTGGCTTAAAATAAGTGTAAAGAGATATTTTTTATTAGAAATTAGAAAAATGAACCTTCTTCGATTTACATTTGTGCTCTGAATGCCCCTTTTTTCATTTTTTTCAAATGCTTTCTATAAACATTTTGCAAAAATATATCTGATTCAGTTTGTGTTTCGTTCTGCTCATAAGTTTCAGTTCCTTTTAAAAGAAGGCCTGATTATTTGCATTGGTACAGATCTTAGCTGTAGATTTTGTGTTTTTCTACCTCAGTACCTCTGCAGCCTTTTCTTTGATTCAACGCTTATTGCAGTAATTCTCACCAATTTTTGTTGGGAATCAATGCTGCTGTCATGAGGGAATATCGGTCTTAACTAACAGCAAATGTGGTTTGATTGGGAAAAAAATCAAATGAATGTTTATTAGCTGTGGAATCTTATTTTATCTCGTGCTGTATACAGTCATCTAACACCTACCCCTGACTGGGTCACAGGCATTATAAATAACCATACAGAATTATTCAACCTGACGCTGTCTCATGAGCTTTTATCTGTCATTTGGGGGTATCAGTATTAACTTCAACCTGTTTCATAACCATATTTAAACTCCTCACAGGAGCGTTAACAGTTTTCTATATTAAAGCTCCTGTGAGGAGTTTTAAACTGAAATTAATACTGATGCATCTGTATTACCTATGACAACAAACCAAGACCACCAAGAAGAAGGTTGGTTATTTCTGTCTTGTTATTTATAGAGCACAAAACCGTTCTTCAGATGAAGAAAACACTTTTTCACAACAAAGATCCGAAACATTTTACAGTCAGTTATTTTCAGAAACAGTTTACTCATGTAAAAGACAAGAACAGCAAAGAGAAAAGATGAACCACTTTGTCCACAGGGGGAGCCAAAATCAACACAAACTGTAATCACAGGAGATTAATGCTTTAAATATGAAAAGAAGTTCTGATAATTTGAGAAGTGTGAAAGATATGATAAAAAGTAATGACCATATACTTAAACAGTTAGTTAGAAATAAACATGTTGGGGTTTAAAAATAGCTTATAAAGATAAGTGGAAGAATACAGTATGATTAAAAGCGGGAACAAGTATAATTCATACATAGAATAGATAATAAAAGTGAATGGATTAACTGTTGGGGGAAAAACTACTATAAACTACTGAAATGTTTACTTTCTGACAGAAAATCTTGTACACGTTTAAACTGTACCAAATCATGCGTACAGGTGTTTGAAAAAAACACTTTTAGTATATATTGTAAAGCTGTGAATAACTGGGTTGAAAACAACACAAGTCAACACATGAAAGGTGGAACAGATACATCCGATCAGAATCAGAGAATGAAACAGGACTCGCACAGCAGAGAATCAGGAACTGTGCACACTGTGTACTAAGGTATCGTCTAATGCACACATATCGTACCAAAATACATACTTATATCTATGGCATCAAATAGTTTTACTTAGGAGTAGCATACTTCTCAGAATACGGACATAGAAACACACACACACACACACACACACACACACAACCAACAGCAATTATCCTCTATCACACACAAAGTGGGGGGAAACCCGGCTGTTATCTTGGATAAATATGCCGCCTTGCATGGCATGAAACAGCAACAAAGTGATTAGGGGGGGGGGGGGGGGTGGGGGGAGAAGTACAGCATGGAGACATGCTAGCTAGCTTCTGGAAAGATATCATAAGGAGGTGGGGAGGAGAGGAAGCAAGAACAAACGCAAACCGATGAGAAGAATCATGGGAAAAAAAGAATAGCAATAACATCAGACTGAAGCCCTGTTATCTGTAATTCTGCTCTTCCTGACGACTGAGTTTGACGCCTGCTGTGGTCAAACAGTCTGACTGTAAGGGTGGTGGGGGGGGGGGGACTGGCCTGGGATGTTGGTCCTGTTGCATGGCAGTAGCAGTTACAGTTTGCTGAAAACACACAAAATAGTGCTCTTATATATGTAAGTATATACACATATATACTCAGGAGTTCCATGTGTTGAGGCGCAGAGACATATCTCGTTTGTGTCACGATGCACACAGAAGGTAAAAGAGCAAAGAGTCCGTGCTTGGTTTTTGAGCTGAAATGAAATCGTGTGACTTATTTTACATAATGTTAATTTAGTCACTGTATTAAGCAAACAATCAATTCCTCGCCTGAGTGTTTAGCTACCAGCAGTGCTAAATGGTTTAGCTATCTTCCAGCAGGTAAGGGACTAATGAGGCCATTAGCAGTTAGCTGTTAGGCTAATGGGATCAGATCCTGCCACATACTTAACAGCATGATGGCACATTTAGGTATCTCTTGTGTGTGATCAGGATCAGAGGTAATTAAGAG